AAATATACTAGATATACTTAATTATATACATTACATTTTCTGTCATACACATATGATCTTAAAATAACAGTACTATAGTTATGTACAGAATTTATTCCTCCTTTGATTGTGTCGCACTGCCATTTACGTTCCTTTCAAACCTGTATTTTATAATCGCCTGATAAAGTTTGTTGTAATCTCAATATTACTTGTGTTAAATATAATTCTGCTCATAGTTTGTTTGGAATATTTATTTTTTGTAGGCAATGAAAAAAAACAGGCTCAACTGCTATCAATTAATTTATTTGCAAGTTGGGTAAAAATCTAAACTGTGCCAAATCAGTCCCATTATGTTCTAACAAACTGCTCACTCATCCATTTATTTGTTCTTTAGTTTGACATCTTTCTGTGTATTTCTTATAAGGGGAAACATCCTGAACCTGCCAGCAACATGGTGGCAGGTTCAAAACTATGGGGAAAAGATATCTGCACTCCACACTTTACAGAGCTTACACAGGTATAACGTTTGGTTTATGTTTTTACACGTATGTTTCCTTTGTCAAAATTTATTATGATTATGTCACTGATGTTTGTAGGACCACTTCCAGATCCCGACATTCTGGCATCAGGAGAAAAACTATGCCAGCTGGAGTCCCAACCACTTATCGCACTTGTCCTAGATGGTCTTTCACATTTGGAGCTGGTTCCATCCAAATTTGGGCCTGTGCCACAGGGCTCACCAATGACTTATCAGTGCCCACCTGAAAAATCCTCTGGTAGCATCATTCTGCACCACATGGCTCCAGACTTTTGATGCTGCATAGTCTTCCAAATACCCGGAAGTGTGAAAAAGGTCTATAAATATATATATAAAAAATTCCCTTCTCACCCACCGCGGGTGGTTCTTATCCTCTGAGCTCGGGTCCTCTACCAGAGGCCTGGGAGCTTGAGGGTTCTGCGCAGTATCTTGGCTGTGCCAAGGACTGCACATTTCTGGACTGAGATGTCTGATGTTGTTCCTGGGATCTGTTGTAGCCACTGCTCCAGTTTGGGGGTTACTGCCCCGAGGGCCCCGATGACCACAGGCACCACTGTGGTCTTCACCTTCCAGGCCCTCTCCAGTTCTTCCCTGAGGCCCTGGTATTTCTCTAGTTTCTCGTGCTCCTTTTTCCTGATGTTGCAATCACTTGGTATTGCTACATCTACCACAACGGCTTTCCTCTGATGTTTATCCACTACGACAATGTCTGGTTGGTTCGCCATTACCATTTTGTCTGTCTGGATCTGGAAGTCCACAGGATCTTAGCTCTGGTGTTCTCCACCACCTTTGGGGGTGTTTCCCACTTTGATCTTGGGGTTTCCAGTCCATATTCTGCACAGATGTTTCTGTACACTATGCCTGCCACTTGGTTATGTCGCTCCATGTACGCTTTCCCTGCCAGTATCTTGCACCCTGCTGTGATGTGCTGGACTGTCTCAGGGCCTCCTTGCACAACCTACACCTTGGGTCTTGTCTGGTGTGGTAGATCTGGGCCTCTATTGCTCTGGTGTTTAGGGCCTGTTCCTGGGCTGCCAGGATGAGGGCCTCTGTGCTGTCCTTGAGTCCAGCTTTTTCCAGCCATTGGTAGGATTTACTGATATCAGCCACTTGGGTTATTTGCTGGTGGTACATCCCATGTAGGGGCTTGTCCTCCCATGATGGTATCTCTGGCACCTCAACCTCCGTTCCCTGTTGTCTGAGACATTCACTGAGCACATTGTCTGTTGAGGCTTTGTCCCTGATGTATTTATGGATCTTAGTTGTTTCGTCCTGGACAGTGGTTCTCACACTCACTAGTCCTCTGCCTCCTTCCTTGCGGCTCGTGTACAGTCTCAGGGTGCTGGATTTGGGATGGAACCCTCCATGCATTGTTAGTAGCTTTCTGGTCTTAATATCTGTGGCTTTTATCTCCTCCTTTGGCCAGCTAATTATTCCAGCAGGGTATCTGATTACTGGCAAGGCATAGCTGTTTATCGCACGGATTTTGTTCTTGCCATTGAGCTGGCTTCTCAGGACTTGCCTTATTCGTTGGAGGTATTTAGCTGTGGCTCCTTTCCTTGTGACCTCATCGAGGTTGCCATTTGCTTGTGGTATACCTAGGTACTTGTAACTGTCCTCTATGTCTGCTATTGTTCCTTCTGGGAGTGAGACCCCTTCTGTGTGGATGACCTTCCCCCTCTTTGTGACCAGCCGACCACATTTCTCTAGTCCGAATGACATCCCAATGTCAGTGCTGTAGATCCTGGTGGTGTGGATCAGTGAGTCGATGTCTCGCTCACACTTGGCGTACAGCTTGATGTCATCCATGTAGAGTAGGTGACTGATATTGGCCCCATTTTTGAGTCTGTATCCGTAGCCAGTCTTGTTGATAACTTGGCTGAGGGGGTTCAGGCCTATGCAGAACAGTAGCGGGACAGAGCATCTCCTTGGTATATGCCACATTTGATGGACACTTGTGCAAGTGGTTTTGCAGTTGGCTTCAAGGGTGGTTTTCCACAGCCTCATCGAGTTTTGCAATGAAGGCTCTCAGAGTCCTGTTGATGTTATACATCTCTAAGCATTCAATGATCCAAGTATGCGGCATTGAGTCATAGGCTTTCTTGTAATCAATCCAAGCCATGCACAAGTTGGTGTGTCGGGTTTTGCAGTCTCGGGCAACTGTGCGGTCTACGAGGAGTTGGTGTTTGGCTCCTCTGCTATTTACACCGATACCCTTCTGTGCCGTGCTCATGTGTTTATCCATGTGTTTGCTTATCTTGGCCGCTATGATGCCTGACATGAGCTTCCAGGTTGTGGAGAGGCAGGTTATTGGTCGGTAGTTGGGTGGGATTGGACCCTTTGATGGATCCTTCTGGATTAGGATTGTCCGCCCTTCAGTTAACCATTCAGGGTGAGTCCCACTTTGTAGCAGCTGGTTCATTTGGGCTGCCATTCGCTCATGGAGAGCAGTGAGTTTCTTTAGCCAGTAGGCATGGATCATGTCAGGCCCTGGTGCTGTCCAGTTTTTCATACCTGAGACTCTTTCTTGGACATCTGTCACAGTGATGGTTACCGGGGCTTGCTCAGGGAGGTTGCTGTGGTCCTCTCGTAGAGAGATCAGCCACTGTGCATTGCTGTTGTGGGACGCCTCCCTTTCCCATATGCCTTTCCAGTATTGTTCAGTCTCCAGCGTTGGTGGGTCTGCTCTGTTGTTATTACCCTGCCATTGAGAGTACACCTTAGCTGGTTGAGTGGAGAACAGCCGGTTAATCCTTCTGGATTCATTCTCCCTTGTGTATCTCTTTAGGCGGCTGGACAAGGCTTGGAGCCTCTGTTTGGCAGTCTCGAGTGCTTCAGGTATGGGCATCTGCCTGTACTTTCTGGGTACTGGTCTTTTCATTGCACCCTTGTGGAGCTCTGACAGTTGGCTCACTTCCCTCCTTGTTACCTTGATTTTAGCCTCTAACCGTCTTTTCCATGGTGGGTATTGGGTCTCATGGTTGCTCTTATAGCCAAGTATCTCAAGGACCACTGATGCTGAGTTGTAGGGATCGTTCTCAATGCTGCATTCACATTCTCAATGAGACTTTCAGATGGTACTTCACTCAGCCGTTGTAATTGGCGCCGGGGAGGCCTGGTTGTCATTTGGGTCATGATTCTCTCTCTCAGGTCAGCAGCTGTCTCGTTCAGCTCTGTTTCGCTCATTGGGGCCGTGTATCCCCTCACTGGGTGGGGACTTGTAGTTAAGTCCCCACAGTTCTGACATCCGGGTTCCTCCCTTTTGCCGTAGCATTTGTGTTGTATCTCGTCAATCTCAAGTTGTGATAGCAGTTGCCGTTTGCGGATGTTGGAACACTGAGCTACTAGTTGTTTAGCGCTTAGTGTTGACTGGGGATGTCGAAGTAACCATTCCTTCCCCAGTCTTGCATGTAACCTCTCTCACTAGGGTTACTTGAGTAGTAGCATTCCAACAGATCCACATTTTCATCTCTCGCCCATTTCCGTCTTGTTCCAGTAGCCCATTTGTCATCAAGGTGCTCTGGTTCCCCAACACCTGACGCAGACCTTGTTTGGCCGGGCGACTCTGAGCCGGCATGTTATGCAACTTAGTATCTCTCATGGTATGAGGTAGGCAGTAGCTTGAAGGGTCTTGCCTAAGGACCCAGACTGGATTCGAACCCTGCCCTCTCGGGTGATATACTGATGCCTTATGTATTGAGCTATCCAGTCAGCTCAATACATAATATATATATATATATATATATATATATATATATATATATATATATATATATATAAATTCCCTTCTCACCCACCGCGGGTGGTTCTTATCCTCTGAGCTCGGGTCCTCTACCAGAGGCCTGGGAGCTTGAGGGTTCTGCGCAGTATCTTGGCTGTGCCAAGGACTGCACATTTCTGGACTGAGATGTCTGATGTTGTTCCTGGGATCTGTTGTAGCCACTGCTCCAGTTTGGGGGTTACTGCCCCGAGGGCCCCGATGACCACAGGCACCACTGTGGTCTTCACCTTCCAGGCCCTCTCCAGTTCTTCCCTGAGGCCCTGGTATTTCTCCAGTTCTCGTGCTCCTTTTTCCTGATGTTGCAATCACTTGGTATTGCTACATCTACCACAACGGCTTTCCTTGATGTTTATCCACTACGACAATGTCTGGTTGGTTCGCCATTACCATTTGTCTGTCTGGATCTGGAAGTCCCACAGGATCTTAGCTCTGGCGTTCTCCACCACCTTTGGGGGTGTTTCCCACTTTGATCTTGGGGTTTCCAGTCCATATTCTTCACAGATGTTTCTGTACACTATATATATATATAATATTACATACTTAGCTAATAATTTTTTCTGATGATTGCACAAAAGAAAACAAATTCCCAGATTTTCTTTTGTTATAAACATGTATCTTGTAGAGTTCTTTTTGTGTATACTATGTTTTATTTTATTTTATTTTATTTTATTTTATTTTATTTTATGACCGGTAGGGGACAGTAAAACTTCCACCAGCCTATTCACTTCTGATGGTGAGAAAGAAAACAAAGAAGACGAAGAAAGGCACTGAGAAGAAGAGGACAAGCTGGTTGCTAATTTAAACAACGCAACTCGTGTATTGTGATTAAAGTCGGCGTTCCTGTCAGAAAAACATTATATGCGGCTAAAGAAGAGGAAGAGCATCACAAGCCTTTCCTGACACAAGCCAGCTCTTTGCTGACAGCATGGAGAAGCAGTTGCATTTGAACCTGCTAGCATCCAGACCCCCTATGGCAGGTGGTTTTCAGTCCGGGTCCAAGATGAAAATGGGGTGAGTCAGCTGGCTTGTTACACCGGATTTCACGCTGTTTAAATGCCCTGTTTAAGTTTATCTATTACTAAACTAACGCGGTTGCGTTTCTACACCCGAAAGTTGGACCTAGCTCGTAGCGTTAGCCAGGCTAAGTTAGCCGCGGCTCTAGTTTGTTGTGAAACACGACTCGTTCGGGTCATTTATTGTTTTCTTTAGTCATAAATATGTTGTAGGTGACAGAATATGTTGGCAAACCAGTAAATCAGAACCTTATCACACCGGTGTGTTCAGGTGTATATCTGCATGTAGGTGACTTCACTGCCTACATGCCAAGCTGTAGTGTTTGCACGTCCCTCAGCCCACAGGCTCACTGCACCAGTTTGGATTTGTCACCCTGTGATCATTTAAACTCCTTCTGTTTTTCCCAGGTTTCTTTTTGAAAGGAGGAAATTTGATCTAATGCTAAACTTGGATTATAATAAACGTATTGTATTTCTAGGCTTTTTTTAATAGCCCATCAGTTATTTTTGATCATAAGCAGGTTATCTATCCATGCATTTGTTTCCTCCATTTCCTTATTGCTTCATCTGTTTTTAGTTTGTCCTGTCATCTTTTCACCCAGTTGTTGTCAATCTATTCATCCACCATTCATTCATACGACATATTTTTCTAGATCTAACATGCACTCATCCTGGTTTATCATCCGTTTGTTTAACCCCCATTCTGTTTATTAAATAATCTGTTCTTATATTCATCTATCCTTCCTCTTTAGGCTGTAGAAATTGCCTATGAGTCACATAATTTTTTTTGACACTGAATGAATAATATTTTGAGTTCAATTTTATTTATGAGTAGGTTATGCATTATGAATGCATTTATTTTTGGCTGAATAAACTGTAGCACTAGTTTTAAACTTTGTAGATTGTAGTTTGCCTCTGTTTTATTTATTTGTTGATTTTTTTATTGGTTTTCTTTTTCTTAACTACAATTCAGACGTTTAAATGTGATTGTTTGGATATTTATGTCCAACTGTCATGTTTTCATGTCATTGACACAATTGCATTTCTTCTGTCTTTCAAACCAACATCACTTTTTTACCTCCATATTTATGCACATTTTGTTTTTTTTACACGACGCTTAGTTTTAGAACATTTATTTTCCTCCTTTTGTCATTCTTTTCATTACCTCTTGTTTTTACATCTTACATAAAGCACGTATTGTTAGTTCCGTTCATCTCGTGGTGCTTTATCTTCTATCTTAATGCTTTACTAGTTTGTCCACACTATCCGGGTGGCAAATGAAGGTTTCTTTTAAAATGCGTCTGTTTCTCTCTTACCCAGACCTGGACGAAAGAGAGATTTCACCCCCTTGATCTGGAGTCAGTACTTTGAAACCATAGAAGATGTTGAAGTGGAGAATGAAAACGGCAAAGATATATCCTTATGTTAACCCTGATCCATCCTCTACATTGCCAAACAGAGAAACATGACAGTTGTCTTGACACCACTGCATTTTCCATTTTGGTGATGTCAGGTCTGCATTGAGCTGCTCCAGCTTGAAACCCTTTTCCATAAGACACCCTACATGCTGCTTGAGCTAGTCTGAAGGGAACGGAAAGTTTAGAGCGATATGTGTGTTTACCCTCCAGAAAGTTGCTGAATAATTCTGCACCACAGCATGCTACGTTTCTGTTGTTCCTGACTGCTTCCACGTTGCTATGGTCCCACTAGTAGCTGACTGTGGAATATCTTATTTTTATGAACTAACTCATGAAAATAAGTCAGTTTTTTTTATGAAAATAACTAACTCACTGAGCTCCTTAGAGGGATGCTTTTTGTAAAGGGAGGCGTTGCTGAGGACGAGGAGACAGCTGTGGAAGTGCTCATAGCTGGGGAAGGGAGGACAGTAATGCCACATCTGTCACACAAGCAGCAGTCACACTTGACAGTTTTCCCAATAAATCTTCTTTCTTTTTTTTGTGTTTGGCAGTGTGGATGTTAAATTGGCTGTCAGTATCACATCACAGTTCATGTGTTCAAGAATTTCTTCCTGTTTTCTCCCAATAAAGTAACTCCATGGCTATTCTTTTTGTTGTTTGTTTGTTTGTTTAATTGCTTGCACAGCGTTTGTTTTTATGTCCTTGACCACCCAGAACATTTTCAGACTTTACTGCAGCGGCTCCAGCGGTCCTGTGCTGCTGCTGCTCCACGGAGGCGGCCACTCCGCGCTGTCCTGGGCCGTGTTTACCGTGAGTCTGATTAACACTGCTGCCGTCATAAGACTGTCTAACTACCTAAATGCAGACCAGGTTGGTTGGAAAACGATGAGACGTTGTTCCATGTGTTTTTATAGGCCGTCATATGCAGCAGGATCAACTGCAGGGTGGTGGCCATGGACCTTCGAGCTCATGGTTTGTTACACTGATAACCAAAAACACTTTTATAGAAACGTGAAAAAATGCCATTGCTTTTAAACATACATGTGTCAAATGTGTAAAATAATCATTACCTTTAGCTTGTTTTACAATTTAAAGGTAAAATACAGCAACACTTTCTGTGTAAAAAGAAAAAAAGTACTATTCTGATCACAGGAGCAGCTTTCTACTGGCACTAATGTCTCTATTCTCATGATCAGGAAGTTTCTTGTGGATTTAGTTGAGTCTCATTATCTAAGCTGCTACAGAATATGTCTGATTTTTTTTTCTTTCTTATATAGTTCAATTATTTTATCAGCTGTTGGGATCTGATGTTTTGAAAAATGTGGAAACCAAAACATTTTTGTTTTGCCTAGAAATGACTGGAAAATAATAAAGAACAAAACATGCTGTGCTTGGCATTCAGCACTTTGTCGTTTTATTTTCAGGGAATTTAATATAATGAGCTTTCTGTTCTTGTTTCGGTGGCATAATTGTTCATTTTTAACAAGGTTTGCATTTTTAGCAATTGCGAGTCTTACCACTCTGCAACCTGTTTCTGTCACTCTTTGCAGGAGACACTAAAGTAAAAAATCCAGAGGATCTCTCTGCAGACACCATGGCAAAGTAAGTGTTTTTAAGAAGTGTGTTGAGTGGAGAAAAGTTTCCTGTTTGCATCAGTTGCATAAAATCACTGAGGATTCAAGCAGATATAAAGTTCCAGCCATTAATCATAACAACCAGTACAGGACATGCAGTCAGTGAAAGTCAAAAGGTGTTTGAAAGTTTCAATTTATCATTTAGAGTCGATCAATCTTAACTATTTGATCTCTTTCCATATTTTCTCAATTGTATAATAATTTCCTCTACACCTCTGAATAATCCTAATGTCTTTTCCTTAAAGGGATATTGGTAAAGTAGTGGAGGCGCTGTATGGAGAGAGCCCCCCTCCGATCATGATGATCGGACACAGTATGGGCGGAGCCATCGCCGTTCACACAGCCAGCGCCAACCTCGTCCCATCGCTGCTGGGTCTCTGCGTCATCGACGTCGTAGAAGGTAAACTATTCCTTTCAATCACTTTGCTGCCTCAAAGGTTAGCAGGCTTTTACTGATTTGTCCATTTTAATACTCCTTATTGTTATTAACTGATACAAAACGGGGGTTTGAGTAAGATATATTATTTTCCATTAGGTACAGCAATGGACGCTCTCAACAGTATGCAGAATTTCCTCAGAAGTCGACCAAAGACATTTAAGTCTCTGGAGAACGCCATAGAGTGGAGGTAAATCACAAGCACTAGGACTTCAACTATAATCTCCTGCTTTATTGCTTTAAGTTGTAAGACGTTACGGTCTACTTCAAGGTGAGGGAGGCGTGTAAGAGCATGTCCATATCCTCATGCTGACTTTGGAAACATATAGCCAGAAATGTCGCAGATTCCACTGTGAGTCCCAGGATTTTAGAGGAAAATCGGAGACCTTTTTACAAAATAAAGCTGAAGCAGAACTTGATCCTGTGACCCAAAACATTCCAATAAATCCACAAAGAATCCCCTTTAGAAAAACTCCCTAAAGTGAGCTATTCTTTTGTTTCAGCGTGAAGAGCGGTCAGATTAGAAACATCGAATCTGCTCGAGTTTCCATGGGAGGCCAAGTGAAAAAGTATGTGCTGTACTGTTTTTTTTTTTTTTGTTTTTGTTTGTTTTTTTAACACATTCAGCACTCCACAAATTTCTGTAAGGGGTATTTGACCTCCCTCCATTTTTACTTGCACAGATGTGAGGAGTCTGCGAGCAATCCAAGTGTTTCTAATAGCATCGGCGAGGGCATCATAGAGGAAGAGGAGGAGGAAGAAGGAGCAGAAGAATCGAACAAAAAACGAATGAAGGAGGACGACCAAGAGGTTCAGTCTCTCTTGGTGATTTTTCTGTTTTATGCAACCATTGTTTTGTTAAAAATAACAATAATGTCTCCCCTCCAGGTTAAGAAGGAAAGCTTCTACACCTGGCGGGTGGAGCTGTCAAAGACGGAAAAATATTGGGATGGTTGGTTCAGAGGTCTGTCGGCCCTTTTTCTCAACTGTTCTGTGCCAAAACTGCTGCTTCTCGCAGGTTTGTTCTCCTTTTATTACATTTTTTCTTGTATAATTTAGTTTCAGGGTATTTTGTCTCTTTAGAAGCGAGTTATATGATTAATCTAAGAGGTGTTTCTACTGATTTGTGTGTTTTTACAGGAGTGGACCGGCTTGACAAAGATCTCACTATTGGACAGATGCAAGGTAAAAAGAGACGTGCGTTTTTTTTATTTTTTATTTTTATTGTAACTGCATTGTGTTTAAATAAAAAAATGTCTGTCCTCAGGGAAGTTTCAGATGCAGGTCCTCCCTCAGTGTGGCCATGCTGTTCATGAGGACGTGCCTGAGAAAGTACGAGTTTTTAATGATTCCTGAAATATCCGAGGCTTGTTTGTGTGTTTGTTTTGTTGAACTAGTTCCATCTGTTTCATTCAAATTCACATTATTTGTTTGTTTTTGTCAGGTAGCAGATGCTCTAGCAACATTTATGGTCCGACACAAATTCACTGAGTTTAAAGAAGGATTTCTGTGGTAGGTGAACTTTTCTTTTTTTGTGTGTGTTTTTTTTTTTTTCGATTATTAAGTCCTGGATTGATTATTCTATAAATCTTTTTTCAAGCAGCCGAACAAACATTTTCCTTTTAAAGCATGAATTATATGTATAGAATGCCCAATTCTGCATGATGAAAATGTGTCAAATGAAATTATGTGTTTACTATTAAAAGAGGCTAAATATTCAGAATGAAACTATGACAGGATTGGAGAGGGAAACAAAAACAGAGCTCAGTTCAGTCCAAAAGGAAACCAATCTGGTTTTATTAAAATGTGGTCATTTTAAAAGTAGCTGATATTAGTTACTGGTTACAGGTTGATCCTGTATAGATATGTTTATATTCTCTGCACAATTGAATTTGATTTAAAAAAGAGTTAAGTCAAGTTACTGTTGGCTTTTTTAAGGCAGCTAATCAGGAAAACATGCTGGAAAATCATCAGAAAACTCAGAAAATGCAGCAGCTTTAAAAACAACTTTTTCTGTTCTGGCTCATCAGCAGCCTCCTCAGCTTCCCTTGTGTGCTCTTCTGCTGACATAAAGCGTCCAGGCTGCTGTTTTCATCCTGTAGGCCTCATTCGTCGGCTTTTGACAGCTTTAAAAAACGTTTATAACCCGGCTCATTAGAGACTTGGGCGCCTTGTTTGGTTTAAAATCCTGCTGTAGATTTAAAGCCACACAGTCTTACAGATGTAGAATGCAAGAATTAGACTCTCAGCAATTTGATCAGATAAAATTATCAAAGATGTTTATATGTTTGCTATAAAAGGCTGAGCGATTATTGTAGCTAACTTTATTAATGACTTCTATAAATTGTATGTCTGACTTATTGGTCCGTATTGGACTTTTTTATGTGTTCAACATAAAAATAAAAATTCTGCACAGAACAACTTTGATTCTGAGAAAAGGCTGAGGCTCATACATGAATAGCTTTTTTTTTAAATGTAAAATATTTTTACAGTATTTGAGCTTTACTGTAAATATGTGCATAATGTCTTTTTATTTTTTTTAACTCTTTATTTCCAGCTAACTTTCCTGTCCTGATTAAGCCAGCAGGCGGAGAAGAAATGTTTCAAGATTCATTGCAGTCTTTGTGGAACTTGAAAGCTATTTAAGAAGAATATTACATTATTATTATTATTATTGTTGTTGTTGTTTTGCTGCTTTTGTTCTGTAGATATTTTTGCCTTTCAGCTTTGCCTTGTTTTCTTTTAAACACTATTTGATTATTTTTCTTTGTACTCCCATTTTTTTTTATTCTCTGAAATGTAAAGCTCTTGTTTTAGTGTTTTTATTTTGAGTGATTGCATCATTAATTCACTGTTAATGTTTGTCTCCAAAGTGTTAGTTTGAACTCTGATGGCAATGATCAAAAATGGACGCAATAAAAATATGTTCAACACTTTATTGGATGTGCTTAATAAAAATGAAATCAGTGTAGCCATGTTGAGGTCTGTCTAAAAATGTTTACATTTTTAAGATAATGTTAAAGTTTTGTTAATAGTAATTGCAATTTTAATTGGACAAGTTTAAAGTCCACTTAAAACAAGCGTCGATAACTGTTCGTTTAGTTTCATATCTTGGATCTCTAATGTACTTTTAATGACTTTTCAATTCATTATTTTCAAACAGACACAAACATTAAAAGTAAATCATTGGTTAATTAGGACTTGCATGTTTGCAAACTTAAGTACAGATTACATATTATTTGTTCTCGTGTCAAACTTTGGGGACCGAAAACAGGTTTTAATTGTCCCTCTGTGGACTAGCATGATGACAGACGTCTTGTATGTCAAAAAAAACATGTGAATAATTAATGAATCATAACAAGCCTCTGAAGAGCCTTGGAGAATATTTTGTAGTTTGAATTTGAGGCTAATGGTTTTTTTAGCTCTCATTTTTGGCTTTCCAGAGAATACTTTTCACATTTTTTAGAGAACTCAAAGTGAGAGTGTAATGGGTTTCTCTTACTTTACAGAAACACTTTATGAAATCCTCCCAAAATGTGTTTCGCCTCTCTTATTTGGCTCTTATGCCAATATTTCCACTTTTAGATACTTTGTCCTGTAAAATAATTCTACAGACATGACCTGAATAAGCCAACACAAATCCAGCTCTTATTGCATATGGTGTGCCTCAAGGCTCAGTGAAGGGGCTGAACATCTTTAGCACATTTGAAGGATTTGAATTTGAAAAATTTTCAGAGATGGTGGTCACTAAAGAAACATGTTAGGATTTAAACTTCATGTTAAATGTTAGTTTGGCATCAGCTAAATTTAAGCAAAATTAATGTTTGAAAACAGACACATATATACATCAAAATACAAGAAATAAATGGGAAGCATAAATGAGTCATCAAAAGAAAGAGACCACAACATTGTGATTGAAATCAGAAGTTGTAATAAATTAATGAGAATGTTTGTTGGCACATTTAATTTTCTATTATTTATGGAATCAGTTTATCATTGCGTGCTCTACAGATGATTTTTCACCAGAGGGAAACTGGTTCCATGTTTGTGTCTGCAGGTTTAACATGGATCAAATGCAGGCCACAATTTCATCTCGGGTCTCATAGTCCTGTGTCCCTTTTTAACTGAAGCCCGTTAACCCAGTTTCTGCTATTTTACTTTTTCTTATTTTGTTCAGTCTGTAAAGTTGAAACATAGAAACCCAAATCCATTTCCAAACAAGCTGGGACTCAGATACATCTAAAGGGGCAACAGCTTAAAACAAACCTGTGAAACCCCAGAAATCATTCCAGTTGGAAGCTTTAAATTAAATCTTTGTAGAAAATGGAGGTTATTCATTGTTGATTGTAAACTTTAAAAAGGGTTTTCCAGATTTGCTTTATTAAAAGAAAGGAATATTGTTTTCAAATTCTTTTGACAAATTTATCCTCTGTTATAAAAGCAGATTTTAGGGTGGCTTTCTTTTAAAATGTTTGCAACATTTAGCCAAATTGAGTAAATAAAAGCTAATTTTGATGTAGCAAAGTCGGAAAAAATCTGTGGATGAACGTGGATCTACTTATAAAAAGACGAACACTTTGTGTCGTTCCTAACTTCTTCCATTATGAGAAAAGGATGGTAATAATTTCAGCCTGATTTAAAAATAAAAAGTCAATTCGGATGGATCAGATTTCTGTCATTTTCAATTTGCTTTTAAGGACCACACAAACTCCGTCAAAGGGCCACAAACGGCCCCCAAGCCACACTTTGGACACCGCATCTTTAGAACGTCATAAAAATATATTTTTTAGTTTCTTGCATAGTGTCAAATTACAATGTGAAAATATGTTAGATATAAAATTTTAAGACATACTCGCCATATGCTGTGGCTCTTTGCCAGTTTTTTATATGTAATTTAACAACACGTTTCACCATAACCGGCCCTTTGAATGTAAAAATGAGTTTGACTCCCTGTTGAACTTTCTCAGGTACAAAAACTTTGAGCCAACCTTTAGTTGAAGGTGTTTTTCATACGACTCGCATCTTTGTGGAGGAACTTTGGCCAACTCTTCTTCGCAGCATTGCTTTTGATAAGGTCGTGACATTTCAACATGCTGACTTCTGGACTTTAACTAGACTTTTGCGACTCTGATTAGTCGTCAGACATTTTCCCATGGAGTTTTTTCACCGTGCTCCTGCTCATTGTGTCGTCGGTGACCCAGTTGTGTTAACTAACGCCTCCGCGCTGCAAACCATGAAAGCAGAAAACGTGCAGTATTTCTTATCACTGAATTGACAGAAATTGAGTTTTTTTTTTGTTTGTTTTTTCCCCATGACTAAGTTTGTTCTTGTGAATCAATTTAATAATTGATTCTCTGTTGGGCAGAAATTTTTATTTTTTTTACATCAAGGCAGGTTTGTGTGGGGATTCTTTTCTCCATAATAATCAAAATCATCACTTTAAAACAACTTTTATGTTTATTTGGGTTATTGTTGGCTGATGTCAACGTTTGCTGGATGATCCAAAAGGGTGACTGAAAACGGAGCAACTATTTCATCACACCAATGAAACCCACATCTGATTGGCTGGTAAATTCAGAGGAGTGATGATGTCAGGAAAAGCATCCTTTACCTAAAAGAAGGAGCCTGATTCTCTTCTTATATTTATCCTCTGAAACGTCACCGTCAGGAGAGGAGTCAGGACAGACCAGTAAGTGATTTGTCCAAAGCGCACACAGTTTGTTTTCATTCAGCTGAACATGAATAACTGGACTGTTTATAATGTTTCATGTCAGAACATGGCTTTAAATTGTGTTTTATGCTGGTTTTACTGGGTTCATGGACCGATTGATTGGAGAAATCCGATTTTCTGACTAAATTGATGACATTTTTGTGACATTGTCGGTTCTTTTCCGTTAATATTTCCTAACAAAAGAAAAAGTTTTAGGAGGGAAAAAAGTTTCCTAACAGAGTGTATTGATTAAATATTACAAACTTGGATTTCTGTAAATTGAACAATAGACACTGATACGGGTAAGTACATGTAAATTGAACATTACATCTTTATCGGGTAAAATTCTCCATCTCTTTCATGTCCTCATGGATTCTCAGGAAACCAGAACAAGTCATGCGTTTTGATGCTCATGTTGCATCCACAGCTCAGAACATTGACCCGGTTGAGCAAAACCAATGTGATTGTTGGGTTCAGCACATCCAATGAACCGTAAAACAGTTGAAAAACCCCAGACATTTTTTTTTTTCTTGGTTGTTGATCAGTGCCACATGTGTGTTTGTCCTGTATTTGCAGAAAACTGGACTGGAGCCACAGGGATGAACGGTACGGAAGGTCCGAGCATGATCCAGATTCATGTGTCTGTCAGGGTTCTGCTGACTGTGCTCCCGTGCCTCTTTTTCTTGTACATTAACAGCGTCATGCTGTTCGCCCTGGTGAAAAAGCCCCTGCTTCTGGAGTCACCCCGCTACATCCTGTTTGGGCATTTGCTCTTCTCTGACTTCCTCCAGGTCCTGCTGACCACGCTGCTCTACATATTCGCTTTGACCATGGTCAGAATCATCACTTGCGCTTGCATTTTCGTCATCCAGTTCGCAGCCGTCACCGTGAAGATGTCCCCCATCAACCTGGCTGTCATGTCTTTGGAGAGGTTCGTTGCCATTTGCTTCCCTCTGAGGCACGCCGCCATTGCGACCTCCAGGGTGACCCGCGGCGCCATCGCCGTCATGTGGATCGTGGCCTCTTTAGACTCCGTCACGCAGCTCTGTCTGTTTTTCGGCCTCGACAACAGAAGCCTCACCGCTCAACGGGTCTGCAGGAAACAGACGGTGTTCCACCTGCAGGTTTACGTGATCGTGAACCAGGTTTTCACGGTCGCAAATTTCGTCCTGGTCACCGTTATTATCATTTACACTTACGCTGCCACCATGGTGGCCGTGAAGTGCAGCTCTTCCTGCACTCACAGGGCCAAAGTGGCACATCAAACCGTGATCCTGCATGCACTTCAGCTCTGCCTGTACCTCATCTCCACCCTGTTTACCATGATCAACTCCAGCAACCTGTTTAACTTGGATCCAGTTGTTGCTCTTTACGTCAAGCACGCGCTCTTTTTGGGGCTCGTCATTTTCCCCAAGTTTTTGAGCCCGCTCTTATACGGCCTTAAAGATCAGACGTTCAAACACGTCTTCAAATACTACTTTACCTTTGGCTACAGACCTTCAGTAGAGCCGTATCCCAAGTCTTGATCACTAATTGGAATAAATCATGTTTTAATCTGCCTAGTGTATGAAAAGGTGCTTTGAAGTTTCTCTTAGATAAAGGAGAGAAAAAAAAACGAGAATTTTGCTGAAGTTAAAACGAGTTGAACCAAAATAAAAAGCTGACAAGAAATAGGTTGAAGCTGCATGTTTGCATACGTTGTATCATTTGTGAATGCAAGAACAATGAGAGATTTCTTTCTTATTGTTTTGTTCAAATTCACGTCTTCACAGAGTATACTTATTTTTAGCAATTGATGCAGTTGCTGTGAAAACCTGATGCCTCGGGTCAAACATCTCGGTTGTCCTTCCACAAGATTCTCACAATAGCTTTCTGGACGCTTGGCCCATTTCTCCTGGCAGAACTGGGTCTGTTTCCAAAAGCTTCTTTGCTCACACACACTTTTTCATTTCTACCCACAGTTTTTTAAGTGGCCTCAGATCAGGTCTTTAAAAACTGGCAGATATTAACCAGTTTTACAGCTAATTTGGAGAAATGCTTGCTGTTGTGGTCCACTTGGAAAGCCCTATTTGTGCCTAAATTTGAACTGCATGGCTGCAGTTATTGATCCAAAATTTCATTTTTTGCTCATGATTCCATCTATTTTTGGGAAGTATTCCAGTCTCCCTTACAGCAAAAACAAAAATTTACCATTTTGCTTCCAAATGACGGTTATAGTAGCCAAATACTTCAATTTTTTGTTTCATTTTTTGACATCTCAAAAAAAAAAAAAAAAAAACTAAGGTTTTTATCCCTGAGAGCATTATACAGAGTACACAAACATTTGGTTTCAACTATGTTTGTCTAAAATTAATTTTTTTTTCCATTTAAATCTGCTTCAGCTTTGTGCAACTTGTCATAAAAGAAAATGTTATTTCCATTTATCTGTCAAAAATAAACTACAAAATGGAACCGTGTAAAAAAGTGTAATTTTCTGACGTCTTTTTGGTTTCTGTGTTTGAATGTTGACAAATGTGACATATATACAGAAATCATCCACATAAATGTAATTTATTAAGTCTAGATTTCGATGCTTGTGTTATCTGTGGAAACAGGTTTAGAAAATGTAACTAAATTTTTCATTACAGTTGATATATATATTAAAAAAAACAGTGAAGTGGAGCAGTTTGACTTGATGTTTTAAGCAAAATCCAGCTTAGCCAGAGGTAAACTCTCTAGTTTAATTGTTTATTTGTATGTTATTGATCGGTAACACATATCCATAGCTGATCATTGTTTATGATTAGTAAAGAAACCTGCTGATGTGAGTGTTATGAAGCTCATTTAAATCATCCATGGTGCCAAAGTGCTTTACTATAAACCCTAAAACAAAATAACAAACATCTACAATAGCAATCTAAAAGCAAAAACTAAAAATGTGTTTTAAAAAATTTATTTCAGAAGATTCAAATACAATTCTGAGTGAAATCAAGCTGATGAAGACAGTTGTGTTTTCAGGAGTTCATTTATTCCCTCACTGTTGTGTAAACATGACTCGATCTGTGCTTTCTTATTGTATTTGGGCTTTTGTGAAAGTCAAATCCTATTGCAATTAAAACGAAACCCTTTCAGGCGCTGAAAACAGCAGCTACTGAGTTTTAGGTCAAAATCCCTCTGATAGAGTGAGGAGAACATGAGTTCACTGCTCTAACCACCAGATGCCACCATAGGCTTTGCAAACAGGCTCCTAAAGCGCATCGCCAGCACCAGTCAATTAATGTTGACTTAGTCTGTGCAAGTATGCGACTCATAAATCTGCAATGTGCAATAAACCCAGTAACACGTGACTTTATTGATGAAAGTCTTTCGTTCTTTCTCACAGTGAAGATGGATGGTTGTGTAGGAATAAGGACTGAGCCTGGCTGCAAACAATTTAAGGAGCTAAACAGGCAGGGAGGGGCTGAAAGACAGAATAAAGGAAGCATCTGAGCAGGAGGTGGACTAATTTAAGCAATCTTTACTCCGCCACAGTCCACAAGCCCACTCAATACCTCTCCAGCTCCCTGTGAAAGAGCTCTCCAAGGGCTGAAAAACATTCCAGAGCGACAAAGTCCTTGGTGACCAAGATGCACTTTAGTTTGGACGACAAGAGCAAGAGGGAAAAGGTTGTTGTGATGATAATGGAGACCTCTCAGATCTTTGACAAGACAGTGGCGAGCTTCTCTGCAGGCATGTGATGGTGGAGGTTTGCAGGGAGGCCTCTCGGTTGTACACGCAGGGAGCGCATCCACAAAAGAGCCGATGACGCACAAGCAAAGATGGCCCTGGATGACTCTCCTTACGTCTGTAAGGAGAGTCGCAGACCTCAGGACGGATTTGTGACTTCCATCCAAAGTCTTCTCGCTGAAGCCCAGGTGCTCGCGCGACATTTGTCTACTTCTGCTGATTTTGCGGTTTCTAAACTTCTATGTGTGGCAGAATGGGAGGAAGTGGGGTAGCCGCTCGTGTGGGGAGGAATACAACAACAAAAGGGAGAAAAAGGGCATTCTTTGTAAGAGAACAGTGATGGATTGGTAGGTCTTGTGCTCCATTATGAGAGAACCGGAGGACGATGTACAGAGCTGCGCAGATTCTAATTCAGAAAAAAAAGCTAATCAGATTTTAAAAGCTTTCTTTTCCTCTAAATGCAGGTTTGCAGAAGTATTCGATGCCCTGTTTTCAAATTTTGCACATTTGAGTTCAGCCTCCTTACTCTGATACCCCAATATGAACTCCAGGGCAAAAATCAGCAGGAAGACAGTCAGTGTTGAAACAAAATCACGCATTTGCTAAAATCCATCTGACAGCAAGCATGTATACAGTGAAATGAGATGAAAATTATTTAAAAAAACACTTTATGAGGACAAAAACGACCACTGCACATCACCCTGAACACATAATCTAAGTGAAACATAGTAGTGACAGCATCATGCTGTGGTAAAATCAGTAAGGTGACTAGAATAGATGGAGCAAAAATCAGAGGCCATAAAAAAAACTGTGAGACTGAGGAAAAAAATTCACCTTTCACCAGGACAATGACTCTAAACAAACAGCCAGAGCATAAATAAAAACACCACCTTCAGGTGCTTAAATGGTCTAATCAAAGTCCAGACCTATGGACCAATTAAAAATACTCAAAAATGCGCGTACGAAATGTATTTTGTAAATAAAAAAACTTTCATTAAACCCTCAATTTTTTTTTTCTGATACCACATCTAATGCTTAATCTGACTAAATTCTTGTCTCAATTCCTCTAAATCTCAGCCTCGCTGTCAAAAACACACACACACACACACACACACACACACACACACACACACACACACACACACACACACACACACACACACACCGAAAGAATCTCACTCATCAGTCAAAGCGTTTCGGACATTAAGTGTGCAGATGCTGGGACATTTCAGCTCCAACAAATTTGCTGCTGTGACTGAAATAAAAAGGGGCTGGATGCTTTACAGATTCTCACACATACAAAAATAATTTAAACATCCCTCCTCCACTGTGCACTTAAATCTTTTGTTGAGATATAGTTATATATTTGGGATTTTATCTCAACAAAAGACATAAAATCCCAGCCAAATGCGTTGAATTTGAGATTAAAATGTGACAAAATATGGGAAAAGTTGAGTAGCATGTATTCAACTTCCCAAAGAATCGATGCATTTCACCCCCTGAAAAACAAACAGTTGTTTACAACGTAGGGCTGTGGATGAATGAGATACTTCAGAAGAAACTCCGTCCATGTAATTCAGAGTGAAAAGCTGACCTGGTTAGCGCTCTGTCCCCAATATGGGGGGCTTGCTGTCCCCTCATTGTCCTCTGCCACTTCCAATTCCACCAAAAAAGAGTCTGCTGATGGGAAAACGGTTGCACTTTAAGCTACATAATTATTTTCTCTGTGTTTAATACCCAAGAGGTTGTATTAAGAAGCAGCAGCGGGAGAAAAACATTAACAAAAGTAATTTCGTGTTATCCACGGTTGGATTACTTTGGCAGGAAGCCAAAAAGTTTGAATTTCTAATGAATGATTGAATTTTCCAAGCTCTAAGATGTTTGGAAAAGCAGATTTTAAAGATGATCACCTTAAATTCATAAATGTTCAAAATAAATATCAAGATTTAGACTGTTATTAAACAAGGCAGATTAGAGCAAAACCATCGCTGTCTGGAAGCAAAGTACAAAACAAAAAGTTCTTAAAATCTACATAAAATAATTAAATATTTCACTTTTTTTGGAAGATAAACTTTGAAGAGAAACAGAAGACAAGCTAAATCTTGCTGAGAACATGTCGTCTTTTTTGGATGGGGCTGTTGGAGGTTGTGGGCGGGAGGGTAAAACACGGGAAGGAACACCAGCTTCTTGCACTCAGAGCTGCGAGAGCTTCAGTCGGTGGAGTTTCATTACCGAGCTTTCAAAACATCACAATGTAAATGAAGCGGATTATTACTGGAACCACGCACCGAGGTGCCTAATAAACTGGGCTTGAGAGAGCAAAGATCCTAAACTAGGAAACAATTAACTGTGATTTAAAGTCTGAAATAACACGTAAAAGCTTGTGGAGATCTGGGAGATGTGATGATGCAGGTGGAAGAAGCGTCCAGTGAAAAAAAAACATTTAAACCCTTTGAGTTATTCTCACATTTTGTCACGTTCTATCATAATGTCCTCCACCGGGACTATGGATGCTAGACAAACACAAAGCAGTGCATGCTTGTGAGCTGGACTAAAACAGGTCAGAAATCTGAACCTGTTCACTACGTCGTCCGAAAACGGAGATAAGCGTTCAACTAAACTACCAAAAAATTTTTTGATCAGTGAAAAGCCCCTTTACAACTCCACTTCTGGATAATCAAACAGCTGCTCTTAGTTGAGCAGACTGTGAATAAATGAGATGTTTCTGGAAACCATAAGAAGTTCTGTCTGCTGTTTGTTTGTCTCCAATCAACAGGAGTGCAGCATAAATGTGCAAATGTGTGACATATAAGTAACAATGCACATTAATGAGAACACAGATGAATCTAAATCCAATTAAGGACCAAAAAGTTGACATTTTATATGATATAATCTGCATCCAATGAGATTTGTATTGGGGGGAAAAAATGTGCAAAACTGGTTGTGATTTAAGAACAAGAACATTTCAATCTAATCCCAGCAGAGTAGCTCAAAGCTTTGAAAAAAAAACGCATCTTATTTTTTCTGGTAAGCATCTTTAAAAACGGGTCACTCGAACACAAAATGCCAATAAAGCACCTTGAGGATGCGAGAGACACTTGTAGGAACATTCGTAACAGTTTTTCTGCTGTATCATAGAAATGTCTTGAAACTCTTTCTTTGAATTTAATTGTCGGATCTTGCAAGTGTTGTTCAATTTTAAGACCAGAATTGCTGAGAGGGGAAATAACGCTGAATGTTTCCACGGTTCTCCTTTAATATTGAGCCATTTTTTACTATTTCAACAAAATAAAAACAAAGCAAGCAAATACCAAAGCCCTGCTTTGGCATCTACAAGAAAAAATAAATACTTATCCATATTTCCATCTCGAAAAAGGCAGGAGAGGAGAAGATCTGATTGATCAATATCTGTGGAGTTATCAACAGAGGTGACGTAATGTGAATATCAATGGATCCTTCCTGGAGGGGGAGGATGCTGTGGATCTGTAACCAGGGGCCCGCTCGCTCCCACTGTCAGGTGTGCCCACGGCCTCCCCGCTCCCGCCGGCCCACATGGTACAGTCCACA